TCTTGCAGATGTAGAACACTACAAGTTCGGCATCAGTCAGGGCTAGTTTTAAGATGCCAACACTCTTTACATAATCCATAGTCTTTATATTCTTTTCATAGTTCGCCCATTCTAGTACACAATGAACAAGTAGCGAAGTATAGATTATCTTTAGTATTTTTTTGCTTTCTTTTCGAATATTCTCTATACTCTTCTAACAAATGATCATTAAGATAATCTAATATTCAGGGGCGGACACATTCATTTCTGTTTAGCCAGATAATAAAATCATAATCATCTATCTTGGCTCCGGCATTGACTCATTCTTTAATTTGTTGAAAGCCAAACTTTTTCTTTTTTCATTCTTCAAGTTTGTCGTAGTCTGTTGGTTTAAATCCAAGTTGGGTTAATTCTTGTGCTTCTTGGTAAGTTAAACCTATTTCTTCTCATTTTTGTTGGTAAGTTTCATTACCTCAATTTTTTTTAGCAAAATCTTTATGGATATCTTTTCAATTCTCTTGGGGCATTATTTTTTCCTCCTCACTAAATAAGCAATTAAGCTAATTAAGCTCACTCCTAAAACTCCACAACCAACTCCTAATCATAATTTATAATTATTCTCTTTTTGCCCAACTTGCTTTACCCTCAACTTCTCCACCATCTCATCCATTTTCTCCCCAGTTTGTTTTAATTTAGTTTGTTCTTCTAAAGATAAATTAGGCTTAGTTAATAAAGGCTCAATTTGCCTAATTAAACTTAAATATTTTTCTTGCTTATTTTGCGGGGCATTTTCTAGTATAGTTAAGGCTTCTTTTTGTTCTTTTAGAGCTTTTTGATAAAGAGGAGAATTAGGTTCATGAGTGGCTTGGATTTGGGTTAAAAGTTGAGTGAAGAGTGATTTTATTTGGTTAATGGTTGGTTGTGGTTCTGTTCTTATTCGAGTTAAATTTTCTCCTTGGGCTTTCTCCACCTCTTTGTCTCAGCAAAGTTTACAGTGAATTCCGGTAGCTTGATTTATTTTAGTTAGTTCTACCTTACAACCTTGACAATAATTTTTCATCCTTTCTTCTCATTCTTTTTCAAAGGCCTCTTGGGCGGCTTTTTCCGTCGAATAGCATTTAGGACAATAAGAATGACTAGAAAGAGCAGTTTCTAAAAGAGTAAGGTCTCATTTAGGAAATTTATCGTAACATTTAGCACAGTAATCTCCGTGATAGTAGTTATTAAAACATTTTTGCGAGCAGAATTTATTATCATCTTTTTTAGTTTTATGGGTGTAGTAAGCTTGGTTAGTAATTTCTAGATGACATTCGGAGCAGTAGAGGGGTTCTTGTTGTTCTGGGGTTGGTTGAGTGAATTGCTTTGTTTGGTTAGATTTGCTCTCTCTCTCTCTCTCTCTCTCTCTCTCTCTCTCTCTCTCTCTCTGCTTATGTGTTTGATTTGCTTTACTTAATAATTGTTTTTTTATTTCAACTTTTAAATCTCATAGTTCTTTAACCAATTTACGATATTTTTCTATGGTTTCTAGATGGTTAACGCCTAATTCGCCTAAATTTCCTCCACTATATTTGCCGGTAGCATAAGCCTCGTTATCATGATGTTTTATTCAGGCTAAATGTGCTTTTCGGTATTTTTCTTCCAAATCAGTTATTTTTCTAATTTTCTCCAAGTCTTCTTTAATTTGCTTGATACATCCATCATCCCTATTTCAAGAAGGAAAATAGTGGTTAAAAGCTCTTAAATATTCTTGTTGCCTTGCTTTTTTTTCATTATCATCATTAACCATAAACTAGAACTTATATAACTAATTTTAGAGTTTGACAAAATTATTCAAGAAGTTAGTTTATTCTAGCCTAATACCTTTTATTATCCTTAACTATCTGCCATAAAGCATAAATAGCAAAGCCTATGAGAATATTTTCCAAAGTAAGAAATTCCATGATTGGATGTTTGTCTTTGTTCGAAGAGCCTGAGCCAATGGAAGAAATATTTTTGTTGTTGTTAGCGATTTGTTCTTTAATTTTTTTGATAGCATCGACAACGCCATCTCTTTCTTTTTTATCTTTATCTTGCTCTTCTAAAAGAAATCGTAATCGGCTCTTTCATTTCTTTCTCTCATTGTCGGAAAGGCTGGAATCTTTAGACTTTTTCGTAGCTTCTTCTATTTCTTTTTCTCGATGTTCAATTTTGTCGTCCAACTTTTCTAAATTTTTGTTTTGCTTAGTTTCTTCGGCTTGAAGTTTTTTATTAGTTTGACTAAGTTCTTCGATAACTTTGCCTTGATTAGCTAACGCTTGTTCTTGATTCTTAGTTTTCTTTTCATCTTGATCCATTTTATGACCGACTAAGTTGCCGGCAATAGCACCACCACCTGCGGCAACCACTAACGGCAACAGCGTGCCTCCGGAAGCAACTACGCAAACTGCTCCGGCTATACAGCCCGCACAAGTGCAAATAGTTTTTCAGAAGCTCATTAGTTATTTTCTCCTTTAAGTTGGTTATTTTTTTCGCTCATAGTTAATTCTTGTTTAATTTCTTTTAATTGTTTAATAAGTTGGCTAAGTTCTTTATGGTATTTTCCTATTTGGTTGGCTCAGGTTTTAAGGGCTTGTTTAGTGTCAGTTATTAATTGTTCGGTTTGGTTTATTTTTTCTTTTAAGTTTATTTGTTTGTTCATAATTTAGTTATTTATTAGTGGCATTTGGGCGGGGCTATCAAGGGCTTCGGTTTCTTCCTCGGCTTCCTATATTTCCTCCTATTTCAGATAGGAGTTGAGACATTCTGTCGAGTGCTCTTCCTACATCTCTGTTCATATTGTCTTGTCCAGTTTGAATTTCGTCCTTGATATCTTTGGCAGTATCATTTAGTTCATTTAAGCGAGAATCAATGGCTTTGCTAATATCTTCGCTAATTTTGTTAGCAGTTAACTTCATAGTTTGTTCCACATTAACTAAAACTTCCTCTATTTTAGGACTTCGTGGGTTTTCGAACTTGCCCGCAAAGCTTTCTAACTGCTTGCTGTCGTATAACCTTCAAAAAAATTCAAAGAACTCGCCTCATTTGATTTTTATTTTTTTTGGTTGATTGCTATTTTGTTGTTGTTGCTCATCGCCTTGGCTATCATGTTCTGGTTCATACTCAGCACCCGGATTATTAGTAATAAAAGTATTTCAAAACGGAAGAAAATCTTTATCGAAAATTATCTTATTAAATTTATTTACTCACTTATTATCTTCGTCTTTTAAAGTTTTATTTTCTATCCAATGTTGGGGAAATTGAGAGCTGATACCAGCATCATCGGAATAACTTATGAATTCATTTAGAGTCCAACTGAAAGATAGGGGATTACTTAATCTACCGGCTTGATAAATAGCAACATTAATGCTATCCAAGTGATTAGTGGCCGCAATTCAGAGATTTTTGCTTTCTTCGTCTTTATTGTCACTTCCCATGCATTCTTTTAAAAAAGTTAATTCGGTAGAAGCATCTTTCGGTCGTTCAAAATTATTGGTGCATATCTGGTCGGCTTCATCTAAGAAAAGTATGTGCCTAACTTCACCATTTTCTGCTCTCTCAAAGCCATAATCATCTGCTAAATCATAGGTTATGCTACTGAGAGTGAAGAAGAACTTTAATAAGACATCGACATTAGCATCTCTGTTAGACTTATTAGGAGTTAAACTTGAACCTTGAACTACTACTAAGGGATAAATATCAGCCTCATAAGCTAACTTTTCGGTCATAACTGATTTACCGGTTCGCGGAGCACCATAAAATAAAGCATTATTGTCTAAATTACTTAAATCATTAGGATTCATTTCTCCGCGGACTGGATTAGGTTTAACTTTATTTTCTCATTCTTCAATTAGTGGGCTGAATTTATAGCCATGGACTTCGTCTCTTAAAGTTAATTCGCCATGACCATTGGCTTTAGCTAGTTCTTTTTGCTCTTCGGTTAATTCATTTCAGAGAGATGGCGGAAATTGAATTCGGTAAATTGCTTTCGCATCAAAGTAGCTTGGCTCTATTTTCTTTCCATCGCTTAGTGTGATTGTCATTTTATCAGTTCAAATGGCATTGAGGCTTTCTTTGTTCCTTAATAATCATCTATCAGCTCAGTTATGAGCAGGAAGATCTCAGTATAATCTTTTTCTTTTACTTCTCTTTTCGTCAATGAGTTTAATTGCTTTTTCAATAACCGAAGATAAATCATTAACCGGAGTATTATTAATCTTTTCTGTAAATTTCTCAATAATTTTTTTAATCTCGGGCAACTGTTTTTCGTTTTCTTCGCGATAATCTTCTACGCTTTTGATAGCTTCTTCTCTCATTTTCCGGGGCTTATCTAGTTCTTCTTGTTCTAATTCGGCGGCTTTGCGTTCAATGGCTTTGAGCATTTTTTCTTTAAAAGCTTTTACTTGGGAAGGCAAAAATAAACTTTCTAAATGTTCTTCTCAATTATCGGCTTCGGCTCAGAGGGCTTTATCTAACTTTTCCGCTGTCACATTCCAATTATCTTTAAACATTTGTTCAATTTCTTCTTTGGCTCTTTGTCGCTCTTCCGGTAAATAACCTAAAAAATAGTAGGCTAAGCCACCAATTAGAACTAAGGCAATTAGTAGAGTAGCTTGTTTTTGCTTTTTGGCTTTTTTAGCTTGAATTAAGGCTGGATTGGGCTTATTTTCTTCGTAATACATAGTTTATTCTCGCAATCTTTTTAAAACTTCCATTCGCCTTAATAATCTTTCCTCTTGGGCTTGTTCGGCTTTTAGTTGGCGTTGAGTTTTGCGGTCTTGGTTTTCGTGAGTGAGGTAATAGATGGCTAGGGCTAACAAAAGCAGAATTCCCATTAAAACTAAACCTCTTTGTCAAGGCTCTAAATTAGTGTAATTAGGGCTGAATTCTTCCCAAAGTTCTTGGGCTTTATTTTCTAATTTTTGGGTTTGTTCACCAAGTTTATTCTTGGCTTGTTCTAAGTTTTGGTTAGTCATTAATAATAATCCTCCTCGTAATCTCTTTGCTGAGGTTTTTCTTTTTGGTTCATTAAAATGAAAATAAACACGGCAGCAACTACCGCAAAGATGATTAATTGTTGATTATTTTCGGCTTGACTGGGTTTTCTTGGGCGAGGAAGCCTATTTGGGTCGGGGTCGGTATTTCCATCACCACCTAAGCCACCAAAGGGGTCATTATTATCCGGATCATTAGGTCTATTTGGTCTATTAGGGCTTCCTCCACCATTTCCGCCACCATCTGGATTATTCCTTTCTATAGCTTTTTTCATTCCCTCTACTAAGCCCGAAACATATTCTTCGGGATTAAATCGGAATTTATTAGAATGCTCTTGATGCTCTCGATATTTTTGTTGGAGTAATTTTCCATCTTCTTCAATTTCTAAAAGTAAAGCTGCTCGTTTCCTTGGATCTTTCTCGTTCATTGCTTTTCGCTTATTCTCTTCCATCTTAGCTTTTATTTGGTTAATTTCTAACAGAATTCGATTCAATTCCTCGACTCACTTATAACTTTCTTTATCCAAAGCATTTT